AAAACAAAAGAACTCAATTGATACAATTAAAAAATTCAAAAATTCAATTGACATAAAAAAAAATTAGAAATTTAATTGACATAAAGATCGTATGTTTAGTTTACTCTAACTATTTGTGTCAGGTTCGTTAGAAGTGTTTCAATGATGTATATTTGTTTATACTCGTGCATGTGTAATACGTAAACTTTGGATGCACAAATCAGTAGCAAATTACACGCATTGGGTCAACCAGAGTCAGACTAGCCAATCGAGACTCCCTTTATGGGCCAATAAGAAATATCAGACCAAAGACAGAAAGCTCAATAAAGCCGAAAGAATCTTTCACAAAGGATGGCAAAGGAGTACACGAAGGCAAGTTTCAAAGCTCAACTAAACAGACGAAGACTTCCCAATCAACCCCATGTCATCCGAGATATCCTTATAGGTGAAAACTACAGTATTTTCTCGAGAATGGCTCATCAACAACTATTCAAAGAAGATGAACATATATGTATATCTCTATACCTTACAATACATTTCAATAAGTTTGCATGCCTTACAATACAGTTCATTGTTTTCTTACAAACTAGCATTTCAGAAATAGAATTTTATACAAGGGCAAGGGCCTAAAGTCTCGAGAGGCAAGGTCTCCAAGCCCATAAAAAAAATAAAGGGCAGCTACTCAAAAAAATAAAAAAGAAAGAGCGAGTTTCTCCTTGAAATTGGATTAATGGCTCGTTAGAAATGATCTATCGCAAGTACAGAAACCATTAATGAAAACTTCCTATGGTCCAAACACCTTAAGATGTACATGCTTGGTCGGTGTGTGTGTGTGTGTGTGAGAGAGAGAGAGAGAGAGAGAGAGAGAGAGGGAAGGCTACCTTGAGCTTCAGGCGAAGATTCTTGAATCCCATGTCTATGCTGTAAGCTGATTGGATACCCAAAATAAGTTCCTATAAATATCCGCCCTTTTTTCAGACAAAAATGATTTCAAATGTATTAATAGGAGGGTATTCAGAGCTTCTCGAAAGTCTAAAGTCGTCTTTTGTATATAGTCAAAGAGAATTGACACAAAGCCAAACCCCAAAAGATTTTTGATAAGCATATAGATAATATGTATCTGTTCTGTACTCCGTCAATTTGGTTTTGTGGGATTTGTCAAGTTTTAAATTAGGGTAAATTACACTTTATCACTCTAAACTACTACCTTTATTTTATTTTACACTCTTAATTATAAAATTTCTCACATTGTACCCTAAAGTATTAATTTTATGTCATATCACTCCAATAGATAACGACAAACTTGAAAATCTGTCAAATGAAGGAGGAGAATCCCAAAGGGTTTCCCGCGAAGTGCTTAGTACCACTTTATTTTACCTTTTTTGCAACCAAATAGTTGTTGGGAAGAAAAAAAAAAGTCGGCCAAAGGGAAAAAAAATTAGAACTTAGAAAGGGCATAGTCATGGATATGCATTTTTCTTAATTTTGACCTATACATATGCAATATGCAGCTACGTATTAGCAACACAGACCACTCACATACGCATTTACCATAAAAAAAAGTGACATTCGTTATCAATTCGAGTGATATGAAATAAAATTGATATTTTATAGTGTAATATAAAAAATTTTATAGTTGAGGGTATAACGTAAAACAAGGATAATAGTTCAAAGAAATAAAATGTAATTTTCCCTTTAAATTACTTTAGGGATTAATTACGGTAAAGGTCCTCCAATATAAGAATTTTGTCATACTTTGCTATCGAATGTGTTAATTGTATCGAATTAGTCCCTAAATTATTAAATTTAATTTTAAGTGATCCCCTTTGTAAATTTCCATCAAACTTAGGTAGGAAAGAGAACCCTTGACCATGGCCTGGTATGGTGCCAAAAATTTTAGGTACCTCTGTTGTTTTAGGTGACCAACTACTACTTACATTGAACCAAATCAACCAATCCCTTAGACACGTTGGAGACCCTTTTAACCATGACTCTTTAGTCTTTTCAAGTAATACACCCAGTTGTCAATTTGCATCCAACCACTTCTCACGCAAAGGAATGTGATCAAATCTGACCAACTCTACATAAGTAGTTTAGCGACAGGGACACAAAGGTAATCTAATTTTTTATACGGTACCGCGCCACTTATTTTTCACCAATCAGAATATGGCACGTGTAATATCTTTTTATAATTTGTTATTTTACTTCAACTTGTTATCGGGGGTCGTGTAAATACAATACTCATGTGCAGATAAAAAAAAAAGAATTGAATATGGGAGTAGTAGTAATTAAATTCTATTAATCATATATCAACGAAAATTACAGAACTCACAATTAAAAGTGCAAGTTACATAGCCTCTATATAAGCGCACGCACACACCCAGAACTATCCAATGTGGGATAGCCCCATCCTCTGATCCACTTTAGGACCAAGGGCCCCACCGATCGGGCAGCGGGGCAGATGAGCCCAACAGTTGGATGTTGTGAAACCACATGCACAACTACCTTTCTTGTTTTATTAATAGTATAGATATTTTATTATTTTTTAGATCAATGGTTATAAATAAACTAACTCAAAATCGACGATTAAGATCTATTTTTCAGTATCATACCCTAATTTTTGTTTTTTTTTAGGAGCAATCATCTAGTTTACGATATGCACTTCGCATACGCAAGATTGAATGTGCATTATGTTAGAATTATGCCCGGACGTGTTTGACTAAAGGTCTTCTGTTGATTATATCCCAGGTAGACTCGAAGCATAATACAGACAAGTCAGCCCAAGTTAACCTGTGCGTGACGGTGCTGGGGGCTGCTGCTTGGTGATTCCAGGAAGGGGCATAGTGCAAAGTTTGACTTAAGCTAGAATTAGTCCGCCTTGCACGATGCGCGGAATTTATAGTAAAAAATAAAATTAATAGAGAAGGAAGATCTACACTCCCAATTAATTGGTTCGCTATAATAGATTAGAAGGATGTAAGAACAAACTTCTGGAATCAATAACCTTTCCTGGACAGCAGAGTGACGTTTTGGCTTCGTGTTTGTTGCATAGATTTTTTAAGCATACAATCACTTACAAACCAAGTGGGATCATCCACGAGCTCCCGATGAAAATACCTTCGGAGAATTCTTTTGCTCCGGCATGGCGCCGAGAGGCCAGTGGAAGCCTGTTTATATTACTCATCCACTTCCAAAAAGGAGAAAGAGATGATGCTGAGTAATCTTTTAATATAACCATGAGCATAAAACACACAAATATTTCAGATTACTCCCGGATTCCTTTATCCGGCCCGAAAAATAAGCCTTGCCCCGTCCAAACCTGAGCCCAGTGTCTTTAAAAAAAAGGGTTTAGATTTGCCCCTAAACTCATTATCCAGCCCGAAACTCAACCCAATAACCCGCAAACAGACCCGCCTAAAAAGTACGCATGTTAGAGTACGCATGTTAGACTACAGGTAACTTACCCTACCCAAAGCCCAGTCCAGCCCGCCCAATAACTCATTTGAATAAAAGCTTGAGTTTACATTACTTAGGCCCAGCCCCAAAAAAATTCACAGGCCTAACCCGGCCTGTCCCATGGACACCCTAAACATAGGGCAGTCCAAACCATGGCATAACCCTAAGCAAATTACAGCAAAACAAAAGGACCACACCCGCCCCCCACCGCACAGCAAGAAGATAAAAACAAAACAAAACTCACACCCAAGATCAACAAAACAGAGTCAGGCTCCTGCCACTGGGTAGGGTTGATATGAACAGTCTTCTGTAGTGGCATAGGGTCACCTCCCAAAAGAATAGAAAAAACCCATTTAATTGGGAAAAAACCTAATGAATAAAAAATACCCACCCACATATAGCACAAATGTAGATTAGGCACACGTCTCACATAAAAATTAGGTACATCAAGAGGCCATCCAAATTCGATGCAGCATATTACTGAATCACAAGAACCGAAATTGAACTTGTAACGAAATGTGGCAAAATAATGAGTCACAGAATCAAAGTAGAACCCTCAACAAAAACTAGTACTGAACACTTATGTCTCATAGAATACAAAACTTAGTTCTTAACCTGGTTCTTAAAACTATGAAACAGTAAAATCAGCCAAAAATCAATGCTGGAGAACTTGGGGAAATTTCATAACAGAATTCGGAATCCCATAAAATCTTATACCTAGGCGCTCTGCTTTTTCAACTTCGCAAGCTCTTGCCTGACCAAACCAGCCCTCTGCACATAGATATTTATGCAGAATATCAGCTAAAATGAATCACAATGTAAACTGAAACAAAGAAAGTGCAGAGAGTGAATCTTTTGACATAGTTTGGGATCCAATCAAACAACCTTGATCTTTGCCAACATGAGCTTGAACCTATCGAAATCATTAAGAGCGGCCCTTCTTTTCTGAACAATCAGCTTTCTGCCCCAAGAGCTGTTCTCCCACTTGTTCTTAACATCTGCCATCACAAAACACATCCAAATCTTACATATCATACTATATACACACAAAGAAGCTTGACACTCTAACAAGTACGACTACAGACCTGCAGCCTCCATCGCCGCAATCAGTGCCTTCTTCTTTGGGGTCCTCGTGATGTCAATTTTGATATCTGTGAGTGACAGCCTCTTAAAGTTCATCTGGCATCTTACCATGTCAGGGGCATCCACAAGAGCCTGTGAAGATTTAACATGAAATTTTCCAGGTAAGATGACGAACATACACTTTGCAGTAGCAGTAAATTTTTCAATGTTCAAAATTGCATGTATAAAGAGAAAGGGATATGCCAAAATACAAATATATCATAATAAGTAATATATCAAAAAATACCAACAAGTAAACGATTTAAATATCTGGGATCGATCAATAAAAATGATTGAGAGATTGGAGATGGTGTAACACTGTAACTCCTAGTATCAATGCCAATTGACTTGAGTGGAAGAAAGTATGTGATAGAAGGATACCAATAAAATTGGACAGAATGTTTTACCGAACAGGTATAAGAATAACAATGTTGTACGATACAGAATGTTGGGCAACTAGGAAAACACAGTAACAAAATAAGTGTAACAGAAATGAGAATGTTAAGGTGGATGTGTGAAAAAACTAGAAATGATAGAATCTGAAATGACCGTATTAGGGAAATGTTTGAGGATAAGTTGAGAGTGAATAAATTAAGATGGTTTAGTCATATTTAACAAAAGCCGATAGAGACACCGGTTAGAAAAAATGATAAAATTTCTTTTAATAATACTACGAATAGAGATAGGCCTAAATTAATATTAGGCAAAATAATAAGAAAAAATATGAAAATATTTAACTTAAATGAGTGTATAGCGCATGACTAAAATGAATGATAAATACGGACTCATATAGCCAACCCCAAATGATTCGAACATAAAGCTTGGTTGGTTGTCTGGTTGGTATCACAACAAGTAATATAAGAGAAATAAATGTGCTTTCTTGAAAGGATAAACGATTGGAACAACAATCAAATATCATATCCAATTTAGATGGTCAGCACCTATCAGCCCGAGTTAAAAACATTATCTTTCTTTGAGTTTTAAAACATGACAGAAAATTGTAACAGCTCAATGCGCATCATAGATGCTCACTATTTCAATGCCACAATTATATAGAAGATTCTGACAATCCTAATCAAGAGTCAACCATACTTTAAACCCATAGAATTAACGAACAAAACAAAGGCATTGCAACACCAATCCCCAGAATTTCGATTAATGAAATACTAGTTTACCATGCATCGTATCAATACAGTAAACAGCCTAAGCACCGTTTCGCTAAAACCCAACTGTTTACATTTTTTCTACAACGAAAGAACACGAAAAAGATCCAAAAGACAGTTCAAATCTGAGATGCTTATGTACACGTAACTGATCCTGAATACTTCTAGAAAAAAAAGGCCCAACTTTTTAATTTCCATTTTCATTAACCAAAACAGTACAAAATTTAAGTCCACGATTTTCATTCAAACTCCAGAATTTCCTAGGAAACCAAGAAAAAATTTCCAAGTCCACTCAAACTGATCCTAAGAGACCTTTCTAGCTAAAAGCCATGTATATTTTCAATTATCATAAACAAATCTCAAACTTTCTCAGCAACCAAACAGGAATGGTAAAGAAAGAGAAAATATTACTCTGTTATGGTCGATGACATCAACGATAACGACGAGCTTCCCATAGTCCTTCCCGTAGTTCACCAAGGCGACCCTCCCGATCTCAATGAAACGCTTGAACGGCTACAAAAAAAAAAAAAAAAAAAAAACCACAAGCACAAGCACAGATCATTCAATCAATGGCTGAAATGGTGTAATTTGACAGATGAAAGATAGAAAAACAAAGGCGTAGTTGAAGTTTAAGAGTTGCAGAAGATCTCACCATCTTTCAGGTCTGGAGTTGGAGACCAGAGAGGCGGGTAGAGAGAGAATGAAATGAGGAGAGACTGTTGGCGCTAGGGTTTTGGGATCATCTTTATAGGAGTGTGGAACGGAGTTGGGTTTTGGAGCGGTTAGTATCTCTAGCTGGGTTTGGGCATGCATGGACTGAATATTTCTGGTAGAGCTAACCAAACCCGACCCTATTCCAATAAAATTTTATGTTAAAATTTTAGGTTAAGATTTTTAATACTTGAATTGGCGTTAATATTCAGATTGAGACTTCTTGTTGGTATTTTACTCAGTGCCCAAACCCAAATTTATGAAATCGGGTTGAGCCTATGTAAAATTTAGGTTTTAATTTTAGGAATGAATAAAAAAACTAAACTTGATTTTTTTTTTCTAATTTAATTTTGATTAATAAAAAACTCGAATATAATTTGAGTTTAACACAAATCACAATCTGAGTTATGTAAACCAAGCTCAACCCAAGTTTATTAGTGAATATAATTTTTAGTTGCGCTCAAATTGAAGTTACTCGGGTTAAAATTCAGGTTGGATTGAACTTGGGTTAAAGAGGTTATATCTTGGATTGAGTTTGAATTGCCCTTCAACCCACCCTAACGCCCGACTAATCAAATGGAGATTAATTCAATCGGATCCATTTCAAGTGTTAAATTATATATTTTTATTTTGATCTAACGAGACTAAATTAAACTCTTAGACAAAATTTAAGGATCACTAGTTCTAACTTACATTTTTAGGCCCTATTGAGCTCGTTCATGGGGTTGGCAGTATTTGCACTTCTATTAAATAGATTAATGTTTTTTTTTTGAATATTGTACTTAAACAAATAGTAACTAGCATCTGATCCGTGTGTGATACATGAAATTTATAATTTTTTTTTCAAGTTCACCATTTTTTTTCCACCTCAGTATTTAAGAAATTGAAAAAATAATAGGAATAATATAATTTTTAAAAACTAATATTTAAAAAATATTAAATAAGTAATGATTAATGATTAATCATGAGATAGTTTATGTTTAGTTATTCAAGATAATAGGTAGAATATGATTGGATAAAATTTATTGCTTGTATTTAACTAATTTAAATTTTTATTAATTAAAAAAAGAGAGAGAAAATACTTATGAAGCCGTCTCTTCAAAATATGAATTCTATAATAATATAGGTTTTCTTAAAAACCAAGATGCATAAACAAATTATATTTATTAATAGTTTATTAAAAACAATCCCTATACATTGTGCTCATAATTTTACTATGAATAAACAAATCTATAGACATTGCAAAAATAGAAAAACAAATCTACTCTAGTAGTAAAAGTAAAGAAGGGGGTTTGATGTTCATATTTAAAATATTTTTTCTTTTTTTAGATTAATTATACACATAATTATTTATAATTACAAATAATTCCCCAAAATTTATCTCTTATAAAACTCACGTCTTTCTCATTTTCTTTTGACATCGGTCTAAATTTTTTTCTTATAATTTTTAATTATTTAATTATCAAATTAAGTGGAAGGTAACTCGAGAAGTCTTTCCTCCCACTTTCTTTTTTTCTTAAAATTTTTAATTATTTAATTATCACACATAGTTTTAATCGATTATATTCGTCTCATGTAATTACCCCTCTATCCCACTATTTCATTACCACTCATTTAAAAATTACCGACCTTACTTTTTCATAATTATTTTATGGCCCTAATTTTTTATAATTACTTGATCTAAATTTTTAAATAGTATGATGCTAATAGAAAAAAAAAAAAAAGAAAAGGAAAAGAGGACCAAAAGGAAAAAGGGAGGTGTGCAAATTTCATGTATCATACGGGACGGTCGCTAGTATGTATATGTATATGTATACACCTTTGAGCTCTTCTCCAACATCCTATTTTTATGAGATTCAAACTTCTGGACACATATCCATCGCAGGTTCTTCATCATCATCCTCCTCTCAATTTCTTCAAATATTATATTTTTTGTGTTATAAACATGATATTTTACGTTAATGATACGCCATTGTTGCATGTTGATAGATCTGTTTGTTTGAATATCATCTGCAGCTGAAGTGTTTAGGAAAAGATCAAATCATTATAATGTTATCATCTTATTTTTTTTTCATATACAAATGCACATAACACTATGGTACCGAGAAAAGGAAAAAAAAAATCGGTTCCATACTGGAAGTCATCCTTAATTGTTGATCTTGATGCTAGGCATTGATCGTTAAAATAATAAAAACTTATTATATGTGTCATCAAGATTGGATTAAAAAAGGATGTACGATACTAAAAAAGTGTTTTTCGATACCCAAGTCTAACCCTATAAATGCATGCATATGAAGAAATATGAATGTGTTCGTAAGTTGTGTTATTTGTAATTTGTTTCTCCATTGTATGCATATTGCATATTAGAGATTGGGCTACAATGTAAATACATAATATTTTTCTGGGTTTTGTGTAATGTTTTCTGGTATAAATTATTAGGGTTCTTATAAATTTGGGTTAAACTATATGGTAATTTCTTATATGCAGTGAATTGAGAAAATGGAAGGAACTGTGTTTACCCCTGCTTTGGAGGGAATGAAGCATGTCAAGTCTAAGCAAGGGGAAATGCAAACCAAGCCTTTCTTGGATGTGTGCAAACACTTGCTGCCTGTTCTAGGTGTGTTTCATTGCAATTTTCAAAGAAAGTGACTTGAACGAAAAACGCCTTCATTATGCATTGTCTCAATTTAGTTCAATGATTAATCACCCGCTATGAATTTAATACACATTGCGGGTGATCTAATAGTGAACGAAATCAAGGACAAGTGTATTGACAAATATTTGAATCCAATAGTAGTATCCTACTTTCAGCTACTGCATAATGGGGAAGTGGAATGCTTGATTCCTACCCAAAAAAAAAAAAACAACTGTTATCCTATCACTATAAAATGGTCTGAAAAATCTTTAAGCTTTGTGGCTGTGGTTGATCTTTTTTGTTCTATAATTCTTATTTAAGCTAACACTTCATTAAGAAGAAAGAAAATTCTATGTTTATATTGGAATCAATTTGCATTTTAGTTAATTCCCCCTGTTGATTTTTAGAATTTAAATTGTTTCTCTTTTTCACAAACGTGCAAACATTTACCAATTTTCATCCTTAATATTTGTTAGTTTTTGGGTTGGATTTTGCAATGAATTTAGCTCGTTTAAATTTTGATACCAGATAAATTTGGGGCTGCTATGACGTTAGTGAAATCAGACGTCAGTGGTAATATATCGGTAAAGATATATTTTTCTCATTTATTTTCACTTGCATTCCCTGAATCACAACAAAAATGTCACTACAAGCTGTTAGATTGTGCTCATAATATCCAAGGTAAAGGTGATGCTGCTATAATATATGCATATAGACTTCCCCAGAAGTGATGTGAGGATGCAAATCCAGCTACACTGACTATTCAGCAGATAACATGCTTAAGCCTAGCCATGATTTCCTATTTGGTTTCTGCTAAATCAAGAATAATCAGGAGAAAAACACAACGGATGTTGGCCTTTTCAGGTCTATCGAATTTGCACTGGACATCTCCGGGTCATGTACAACAATCTGAGGCCAGTGTCGTCTGGCTGGCTTGACGAGAGACACAAATTTTATCGCTAACCTCGCCAATAAATGAGGTTTTAGTTTTCTTACAACTTCAAGAATAGATTAATATGCAGTTCTGTGTCTAATTTGAAGTCATCCCAGCCAGAGATTCCTTTTGACGAGGGGATAAATGTGGGTCTTGAAACATGAACAATTGAACCTTAGAGAATGGTAATAAGGACTGAAGATGAATACAGATGATAAAGATGGAACCAACATAACAGTTATAGGCCAAGCAGCACATGTCAGAAATGAAGTTCGGTTTGAAAAACTTCTATCCGTAATACTAATTAGATACGATAACAACTTATAAAATCTCATAAGGGTTTAAATCTGATAATATACCTTTTATGAGCATACATATACCTCCTTACACAATGGTAACTTTAGAGAGTAGTTCCATATTACAGTGATTATTTTTTGCATTCTTTGGGTGAAGGTTTGAGAAGAAAATATCAAAACAAGAAAGGAAACGTCGTAATTCTGTTTTGAAATAATCTGGGTGATTTAATACTCAGACATGTTTGAACTGTCTTCACAGCACTCATCCAGCTTAATATTGATATTTTGAGCTATGTTGGATACCTTTTGCTTTGTCTAATCTGACTGTCACTTAGATCTTAACCTGCACCGTATACGCATCTAGAAGCAACAAATTATTTCTATTTTATTCCAGATCTAATCATTTTCATTGTAAAATATGGTAAATTGCCCTCTTTTTTTGTTGCAGAGGTTGGAAACTAAGTATTCTTCCAATCCATCCAGATTCCATTACTTGTACAGTTTGGTAAAAGCAGAAGTTGAAACAAACACAGCAAAATCATCATCAAGTTGTACAAATGGTCTTCTATGGTTGACAAGGTACGTGACAAAAGAAAAGGGCTTGTTCTGTTTCTGAACCATTTATATTTTATCACATGTACGAATGCTCAGACATATATTCAAGGGATTAAAGAATGGGAAGTACCGTTAAAGATATGAGTGCCTTAAAAGAGTTAGAAGTGCACAGCAATGCAATACCTTGCTGCTGAGATAAAGTATTCGGGCATTTTTGCAAACAAACTTTGAATGAATTATTCAATGTCAATTACTCACTGAAATAGTTTTTCCGGTATTAGTTTTAGATATATGATACCAAGTTCATAATTCTGCAGATCAATGGATTTCCAAGTGGAGCTTTTTCGTAACTTAGCCCAGAATCAAGATTGGACAATGGCACATGCTTGTACCGATTCTTATGGCAAGACTTTGAAGAAATGGCATGGGTGGCTTGCTTATTCAAGTTTCACTGTAACGTCAGCCTTCTTCATCAAATCATTCAAGTTCTAAATTAAAAAACAAATGTTCAATAATTTAGAAGTTTTAATACATCAATCTGTTTTAGCAGTGTAACATATTTTTCAAACAAAAAACATTAGCATCCTTTGAATGTCTTCAATTGTCAATCAATGTTTCTAAGAGCTTAGTGAATTTGCTGGTTAAATTAAATGACATCACTTATCTCCTGTACTATTACATGTGTATTTGTATCTTTTTAAATTTAATACTTATTTTTAATCTAAGACCTTTTGACTTTGTATACATACAATCACAGGTTTGTATCAAGCTTGTTCCTGATAGGAAGAAGTTCCTGGAAGTGATCAGGGGCACAGGGGATATCTATTCTGATATGGAAAAATTTAGCACAAACTTTTCACCACTTCTTCGAGATATCCACAAGTTTCTGGTAAGATGCTTGAAGCTGTTGAACCTTCTTTCAAAATCCAAAATTAATAATAATGTTGAGTTTTAAATTACTGGAAGGTTTGAAGTTTAGGAAATATAGAAGCAGGTCAAGGTAGACTCAGTTATTTGGTTATGACATTGTATAGTTTGAAGACAGATGCCTCCACTTCTATAGTGGCTTCAAGCAGGAAGATTTATTGTTGGGTGTGTAAGTCTTCTTCCCCCTCCCCCCACCCCCCCAACCAACACACACGAGGGGATGGTTCACCTTAAATTATGACTAGGGGATTCTGCACATGGTCACCCTTGTGCATGATTATAAAAGAGTGAGATAGAGGTGAGGGAGAAAGATATGAGTGAGAGACCCAGAGAGATAAACCATATAGATTATTGAATACAGTTAATAGAGAGTAATGGGTAGTTAAAATGGAAACAAATAAGAGTACTATGGGTATTTTACATTCGACAAAACCCCTCCCTCTTCCTTTATAATAGTAATAGATAATACAAGAATTTGTGGGGAAAAAAAAGAGACTTATCTTTATAATAGGAATTTCAGTTTTGGTTAATACATATTCTTTGGATGCAGGGTAGTGTTGGCTTGGACAGTATGAAAGCTTTATGATGAGAGAGATCTCCTTATGTGTAGCTTTTGCTTTTCTTCTCATTGGTGTTTTATGTCCCTCTCTATCACTTTTTCATGTATTCTTTTGTTTATTCTTTATTATTCTATTGTTATGCATTTAGACAAGAAGCGATACCAGCTCAGCAAAGTGTTCACTTCCTTTTCGCCAGGTTTCATTCAATTTGTTGTGGATTGGTACCAACCAAAGGAAAAACTTAAGGTATCAACAACCAAAAGTACATACATAGATTTTACTTTTTTCAACACCAATACAGCAGCCTGCTTATAATATGTCCACAAAAAAGATTTAATCAGATGATGGCAGATACCTGATCATAATTACATACTCTGTATAATCGATAAGCACCAACCATTAGAGACCTTGTGTGCGGATACTTTGGCCAAAAAGGGAAATATTGTAACATGTCTATGGCTCTTCTAAAGCAACAACCAATGCTGTGTTCTTCCGAACATGATAATGGGCCAAAGAAAAGTGATCTTGGAGTGACTTCTTAGGAGGAACACTTCTTTTAACTGGTTTTTTTCATTTTCTTTTCAATCATATGCTTCAGGTGATGAATGGTAGTGGAATTTGGAATATACCTGGACCAGAATCTCCAGTTTCACACAATTTCTTGGAGTGTAGTGAAGTTGGAGTGTAGTGAAGTTGATGAAGTCATTTGAGTCAGGTCATGAAAAGAATGCAATCATCCTCAATGCCGTAACTAGCCAAACTTCGACCATCCTCAAGTTGTTTTCCAAAATACATAAACTTCTCGGCTTTAACTGGCATGTTCTTTTGATCAAGAATCATGTTCTTAACATCTCCGACAGTGTTATCTAGGCACAAAACAAGTCTTATGTTATCAAACAATCCCCATCTCCAACTCCGAACCAATATCTGAATTGTTGGAGGCAACAATTTTAAGATAGATTCTTCTTTGATGTCATAACAAGCTAAAGATTCTGAATCCTGAAGTATCTTTCCTGTATATATTAGAACCTGATCACTGACCGAGAACCCAACCATGCTTCCAACTATAGCTTTGATATCACGAACAGTGTACCAGACCTTAGTTTCAAGTTTCATGATCTTTCCAGCTGATGGCATTTCTACGGAAAATGACAGCACATCTCTTGGATTGAAAACTAAATGAAGGGTTGAATTCCTCTGTATTCCAAGAGAGGCCAGTGCCATGCTATCTTCAAGTAGCTTATCAGCATAGGTAAGGGTGTACTGACCCACATGGATCCCCTCTTTGGCCTGAATAAGGAGTTTTAAGTTCTGAATGGTATCATGAGGCTGTGCTTCAACCTCAATGGTTTTCTCATTTGATAGAATATTGACCAATAGCCTCAATGCAACTGAAGTTTGGACAACAAGATGGAGAGTGGAACCATTCTGAATGTCATAATCAACTAGCTTTTGGTCATCCTTGAGTCGTTCACCAGCAAAAAATAGCTCCTGAAGATTTTCCGATGTGCTTTCCTGGTTACATAACAATGCTTTGACATTCCTAATTGTCTCAGATCTCTTAGCTTTAAAGGCCACAGTTGTGATGATTTTCATGTAAATATTTATCTGCAACAAAACATTAACAGAAACAAAATAATATTGAAGCACATTAACCCGGGATCCATAAGAAAACTCTGATTTTCTATATACAAATCAGAAAAATTAACAAACAAACAAACCTGAGAAACAATACTTAGGTGCAGTTTATGCATTTGCAATGGAAAAATGTCTTAGAATTAATCTGATTCACACAAACAAGTATGATATTTGAATAGAACTACTGTTATGGGCAATGTCAACTTCCAATAAGGAACTTCTAACTAGAGGTGCAACTCAGATGGGTTGAGAGGTCAACTCTAACCCAATTCTAACCCTACCTTAACTTGAGGTACTCAACCCGGTTACTGCCCGAGTTTAATTTAGACGGGCTTAGGTTGAATTCGGATTACTTAATTCAGGCAGATTTCAAGTTAAAAATTGGGTTAGGCTTGAATTACTTAATTTGAGTTGATTTTTTGAAGTGTAGATTTGATTTTTTCAAATATAGATCTGATTTTTTCAAGTGATATAAGATGAAGGGTGAGGCGCAGATGAAGAGAGAAGGAGGAGTGAAGAGTGAGAGAGAGAGGCTAAGAGTCTGAAACGACTCGGACGAGTGACGGACAATTGAGAAAGGGAGGAGTGAACTGAGAGCGATGGAGACGCAGGGGTGAAAATTTGAAATAAAGTGAACGTCTAAACTCTAAAGTGAAGATAAATACTAACCCTAATTAAATATATTTATATATTTATAAATATTCAGGTTCAACCCGATTTAATAATCGAGTTCAACCCGATTTTAATATTTAGGTTGAATCCGACAACACGAGACTTTAACCCAAGACTTGTCCAAATTTAATTCGAGTTGGAGTTTCTTTACTCAGACTCAACCCAAGTAATAAAAATTATAACTTACACTATTTTTTTTGGGTTGACCTGCCCAAGTTGCACCTCTATTTCTTACTTCCATTTAGCAAAAAAAGACTCATTTCTACCAAAATCTTTAGGCGAATTTTCTAATTCGCAACCATATATTATCATAATATATATATATATTAGTTTTATGATCATGTACAACGCAGACTACGCTGTATACAGCATAAATTAACCAAACCAGCCTTCCAGAGGCAATCCCCCAACCGCACAACAATGGTTCCACCCTAATTTCTGATATTACACAGTTCAGGAACGATTCTGTAAATGCCTGCCATTTTTTGTTTGGGGGCTCTTAGTGTTGAAGAACATTGCATTGATAATCCGAGTAATTACTCTCAGGAACAAAAAAAACAGCTTAGAGACACAGTTCTTGAGCTAGACTTGATAGTTGTGTCAGTTTCTTTCATTTATCTGCAACAGCTATTATGTTTATGTATAAGATCACAATCTCCAAAAATTCTCCGGTTCTTCAACTATTAAACAGAATGACAGCAGTTTAGAAAATATTCCACAGTTTTTACACCATTCTATTCCAGGATTTTCAATGGAAAGCAATGCCACAAAAACTCGTTATCATGTTTGCCTGATATTTCCAACAAATGATCGCCATTGTTCCATAAGGATTAATACCATATGCGCATACTAACATAAGGCTTCTGGGTGAGCAGAGTTTTTTTGTCACATCAGTCTAATCCATCAAAGAAGCCCAAGATCTACAACTATTCAATCTAAGCAACAACTAAAAACCCATAAGATGACCCAAAAGCTTCCACCCAATGACCCAGAGCTACTATTTCTTTTGCTTAGAGAAAATTAAATGCAATGACAGGAAAGAAAAAATCAAGACTTTTAAATCTTCAGAAGAAAAAATTGTTTGCCATTGTTTGATCTCTCTTAGCAATGTCTTGTTTTCTCAGCAGCCATGCACGAACACTATACTAAATGAATGAATAAACAAAGTCTAAACCAACAAAAAAACAGAGGTCATATAAAAAGGAATATTAGCAGATACCTCTTCTTCTTCTTCTTCTTCTTCTTCAGTAAGGTTGCTGTTGCTGCTGTTTGATGACATTGGTCGACCTCCAGGAGATTCCATGGAGAGCTATGAAACCCAAATTCTAGATATATATATAGAAGTTTTGAAGATCAGACTCCAGCATATGAAAGGTTTTTCATGGGTTTATTAGCGGGGAAGAATTCATGAACTATTTCTCCTGTGTCATACCAGAGTTCGACAAATTTTTGGCCTTCCCAAAGAGCCAAAACATACATGTTCTATTCAATTTTTTATTAGCAGATTATCTACGATAAATGAGCAAATTGCACTTTAACCTCTTCAATTATGAATTTTTTCTCACTTTGTTCCCTAAATTATCATATTTTTTAATATAATAGTATCTTCAACTATGTGATTACTTTCGCATTACCCAAATTATTAACTTCCATTACTATTTAATGAAAAGTTCTTTTCTTTTGTCCGTTGAACCATATAATTTATTTCATTTTATCTTGACACATCAGTAATTTTTATCTTAAAAGATAACAAACGTTTATAATTTAAGCAATGTAAAATAATTGAGGGGACAATATAAAAAATTTAATAATTTAGGGGGTAAAATTAAAAAAAAAAGAAGTCATAGTTTAACCATGAGAACTTTAAGTAGGACCCTTTTCTTTTGTATATAAGTAAATCGTCAATTATTATTTGTGAATATTCTATCAAAAAAAAAAAAACTACTAGATCCATAATATTTTATTTTATTTTTGATCAGGAGATCCATAATATTAACTCTAACCCTATTTTAAAATCAAAATGACAATAGTTTGTGAAGTCGTCTCCAGCCCAAAACATCCTTCAAAACGGTTAAAAGGAAAAAAAACAAACAAAATCATATTCAATGCATTAAATTCTCTTTATAACCATCATTAAAAAAACGAGTGGTATTAGTTTAATGCAAATTATATTTTATACACTTGAAGATCCAAATTCTATGTGGTACTTGAACTGTAATTTTTTTTTTTTTTTGCAGAAACAATCGATTTTTCAAACTTTAAGTTGTTTTTCTATTAAGTACCCCTTTTGTCCAAAATTCAGCAACAATTCTGAAAAAGAAAAGCGTCATATGAACATCGTGTATGTTAATTGGAAGTTAAGTTAGATTAAGCAACCTCCAATGGTATAATTTATGTCTTCACATTGTATGTCTGGTTCAAGTTTTTTCTTTTTTTTGGAAAAGTAACTTTTTCCTTGGCGTAGATAGCAGCGGGGTTCGTTGTCAAGAACTTGAACGAGTCCGGCTGGGAGAACACGAGCAAATCCCAAGGTGGGAGAGTCTGTTAAATGGTTTGGTACTGGTTATGGTTGGTTAGCACTCGATACGAATCCAAAATGACAAAACAGCACAACTGAAACTTCCAAGTAAAGGCAGCATTTTGTCTGATGTAACAGCTTTGGCAAAACCTACGTTGATCTTCTGTATAAGAATTTGACTTGGTCCCATAGTTACTGTGGTTAGACATCAGTATTAAACTGATTTACTAAAGTGTAAGTGTGATTAACTTTAAGGAACAGATCGACGATCCCATATTCTTTTACCCCATTCAGAAAGTCTTTCGTAGTAGGAGGTGATAAGGGCCCTTACTTCGTCCTACAGTGTATTACTATCGGCCCTACCAATCTCTTTTGGTATTCTGGGAACATTAAAAACCTGCTGAGCTAACGAATCATACTTGGGCTAACAAAAACTTTAGATTTTCTCCAGCAAAAACCTAATGCCGCTGCTTCGGCCAGAGTCAGGGTGAGTCCGGTGAGAGAACCATTTGTGCAGGTCATTTCTGGCCAGGTTCAGTGGTTCAGTGTTGTTCGAGTTTGAGTAGAATTGTTGGTTGTAGTTCAGGTGGCAAACTAGTGGTATCTTTTTTTCCATTACCAACAACACGCTTCGCCTGCTCCCTCGCCAAAGCAGCATAAGCAGACTTCTATTGTGGGGTTGGACCGAGTTGCAGGGATTTGAAAGCAAAAGCAAATGCACAATGTAATGAGAAGCCCACCAGATGACTTGAAAACTTCAATCTGTTCACAGGGATGGGAAGGTAAAGGGGGAGGGAAACAAAGAGGTTTAGGGGGAGGCGGTGGTGGAGCCGCCTGCCAGTGGTGCGCATTTGATGTTTGTGTGTACATATGCTGCATATACCGTCAATTAATGAGATGGATTAAATCAATGTTAAAAGTTGAAGGATAAAATTGAGAAAAAAGAACATGTATTACTATGCAGACATGCATTTAGAAAAGGAGCAATATTGACCTACAAACCCAAGGAAAAACAAAAGATAGCAACAGCAAGCAAAAGTAGCAGTACAGATATGGGCCACGCAAACAACAAAGTAAACAGTACATAAGTTGATTTTTCTTCTTTCTCAACACCTATGGTACTAACTGTTTTTAATATGTCCACAACAAGATTTTACTAAAAGCAGATGGGGGCAGATACCTGATCACAAACCTTTAGAGACCTTGCATCCAGGTAGTTTTGCCAAAGAGGACGATATTAGAACACGTCTCATCGCTCTTGTAAAGCAACAACCAATACTGTGCTCTTCCGAATATCATAATCCACCAAACAAAAGTGATCTTGGAGTGCCTTCCCACAGAGGAATACTTCTTTTACCGGGCTTTTCAGTACAGTTGCAATCAAAACCTTTAGATTACAAATGGTTGTGGAATCTGGTAAACTTGGAAAAAACTCCGTAATTTCAGAGAATTTCATATGGCGCAGTAAAGCAGATGGACAGTACAGTTGGTGGAGTGTGGAGTGCTTCTGGATGCCGTAACTAGCCAAATCTCGCCCATTATCTAGTAATTTTCCAGCATACACAAGACTCAGGACATTCACGGGCAAGCCTACTTTATGAAAAATCTTATTCTTCACATCTTGGACAGTGTCCTGTTGGTACACATCAAGCGTCATGGTTACCCCATTCCATCTCTTGACAAATATCTGAATTGTGGAAGGCACCATTTTTAAGATAGCTTCTTCTTTGATATCATAACAAGCTAAGGTTTTTGAATCCTCAAGTAGGTTTCCTGCATATACTAGACTCTGATCACTGACCGAGAAGCCAACCATGCTTCCAACTATTGCTTTGACATCATGAACAGTGTACAAGACCTTAACTTCAAGTTTCAGGATCTTTCCAGCTGGCATTTCTACATAAAACGATAACACATCTCTTGGATTGAAAAACAAATGAAGGGTTGAATTCCCCAAAATTTTGAGAGAGGCCAATGTCATGCTATCTTCAAGTTGCTTACCATCATAAATAAGGCTGTACTGATCCAAGTGGATCCCCTCTTTAGCCTGAATAAGGAATTTTAAGTTCTGAATGGTATCACGAGTCTTTGCTTCGACCTCAATGGTTTTCTGCTTTGACGGTATGTTGACAAATAGCGGCAATGCAAATGAATTTTGGACAAAAAGGTGGATAATGGAGTTGTCCTGAATGCCATAATTAGCTAGCTTTTGGTCATCCTTCAGCCATTCACCTGTGAAAAATAGCTCCTGAAGAGTTTCTGATATGCTTTCCTTGTCACATACCAATGCTTTAACATTTCTAACTGTCTCGGATCTCTTCACTTTTAAAGCCACAGTTTTGATGATTTTCAAGAATATAGTTATCTGTGACAAAACATCATAAGAATTCAAAGAATTATTAGTTGAAGGTAATCTATTTGGGACCAATACGACAACCCTGATTTGCTCCATACAACTCTGACAAATTAACAGATAACCCTGAGAGGCAATAATTGGCTGCATTTTATATATATGTAATGGTTCAACATCTTAAAATTAATTTAGTCCACAAAGACTGGTTATACTTAGATATGCTGATAAAATTCCTACGAACAGTTACAGGCAACGTGGACTGTCAACATCCAACATGGAACTTCCCGACTTCCAAATCACAACCACATTCATTTCTACCAAACTCTATATGCTAAAGTTTCAGTTAATTTTCAATACATGTAAATTTATAAAAGCTATCATAGCATAACGACCATGTATTTAAACTATCCAAACCAGTCTTCAAGGTGATCCCAAAACAATCAACAATAATTCCATTCTAATTCTGTTATCACATTGTTCAAAAGTGATCCTGCAACTTCCAGCCATTGGGGGGGTGGAGGGGGGTGTGAAGACCTTTGCATTGATTCAAGTAATTCCTGTCAATGTGAAGACCTAAAGACTCCTTTCCATTTACGAAAAAACCATGGAAAAAGAATTTGGTGTCATTTATGTAGATTTCCATTCCCAATAAAACAAAATTACAGATTAGCTTGACACAATTCTTGTGCTAGACTATGTCAGCTTCTGTCATTTATTAGGAACAGAACTAGTCGCAAGTTGCAAACCATCCATACAATCTTCACACCATCCTATGCTAAGATTTTCAATGGAAGTTTAAAGTTGTGCTATTCTAGACAAATAACCACCATTGTTCCATAACTTCTTGTTATGATAATTAACAAATAGAACATACTGATGTTTCTATTTTCCTGAACTTTCCAGTAGCCAAAGAAAAAAAAATGAGTGCAAACTGTTTCATTAAACATGCAAACAGTTTCATTTCACTATAAATATCCGTCTATACCTTCCAATAAGAACTATAAAAATCCAAACCAAGTCACCATCAAAGAAGCCCAGAATAAAGAACTATAAAAATCCAAACCAAGTCACCATCAAAGAAGCCCAGAATCTATTATTCTGCCATCTAAGAAGCAAGTAAAAACACATATGATGCAACCATAACCATAGTCGTCAATTGCGATTCGTATCGTGAATCAGAATCCTAAATTCGAGAATCGTGAATCGTATCGAATCTTGTATCGCAAGATTCAACACAAAATTTGAACAAAAATAAAAAATAATATTGACATATTTAAAATAGGTAAGATATTGAATATTGAACATTATTACATTCTAAAAATAATCAATTGACATAATAACGTCGTCTAAATGGAAAGATATTAGTTTTTTGCTTTATTTTCATCTTTTACTTAACCATTTTTAAAGTCAACAACTTGAAAAAAAAAAATTTATTAAAGAACTATGGCTATTCAAGAACCAAAACAATGACGCCCAATACAAATTAGGTTATAAAAATAAATGGAAAAAGAATAAATAAGAAAACTAATTAAGAAAGAACATACCGGTCAACATTTTGAAACAAAAAATTCAAACCTAACAAAATATCCATAAAAGAATTGAGACCAAAAATCTAAGTTTTTTTCTGAAATATGGTGACAAGAGATAGAAAAATCCAACGTAAAAAAAAGAAGAAAAAAGGCATGATAGGGTTTACTTGGTGCTAAGAAAAAGAAGAAGAAGAAGAGGAAGAGTAGGAGAGACATACCTTCAACCAATGATGCAAGAGCTTTAGCCATTACTTTTAACTTCAAACAACACAAGGCAAGAACGAACAAAGATGGTGAGTCTTTATTAGGGCGTGGGTTACTCTATAAACAAAACGATATCGTTTTATTGATTAGCGGACAAAACGACGTCGTTTTGTCAAATATTTGGATTTTAAAAAAAATGACTGAATCGTGCGATATGACTCGAATAGTACAAATCGTATAATTCAGGTAAGATTCAACTCTAAAAACGATTTTCATTTAAGATACGAATCGTTTTACGCCTATATCGAAATGAATCGTACGATTTTGATAACTATGCCCATAACTAGTACCCAAAGTCACTAATTCTTTTGCCAGCCTAAGAAAATGGAATGAGAGAAAAATAATTAAAACTTTGCTTTTTTGGTCAGGAATTAAAACTTTTAAATACAAGAAGTTCTACGAGTACTTGATATTTTGGCTTAGACATAAAGCCAAAGCTACTAAAAAAATGGACACTAGTTCGAATCACATCATGGGCAAGTGCAGCGACAAAGGGTTTTAGACAATAACTAGTGAGAGAGGTATTACCAAGCTTGGTCTCCAGCTTGATGGGCAATGACAGCTCAATGAAATTTGAGGCCAAAGAAGACAACTTTAAATGAGGTTTTTGGAAAGCTTATAATTTTTTTTTAGAAAGACAACTTTAAATGAGGCATTCTTATATTTAAATGTTTGTGCAAATATTGTTTACTAACTTTCTAAAATTTAAAAATTTCTCACATAAAATTCAATCTTCTTGTTTTTTGAGATAGCTAATCCACTTGGACTTTCTTGTGACATTATCAATCTTAAGTAGGTCTTTATCAACTTTAATTTTGAAAAAACTTTGATATAAAGCAATGCATGCGTTTGGATATGAATGCTTTTTTTTGGTAAGTGATATGAAGAAATTGAAGAGCATATTTGAATATAAAAACTTAATTTGTTATTTTGCATCTCAAAAAACAAGAGGAATGAATTTAAGTAAAAATATTCTGAAATATAGAAAGTAAATAAGTATTATCCATAACAATATTTAAATACAAAAAGTCCTCATTTAGAGATGTTGCCTTAGGCATTAGATATCATCCAGCCAGTTTTACGGGATCCAGAAACAAAACAATTTGAAATTGAATCATAATTAAAAACCCACATTACAGAGGAAATGAAAATGTTGTATTTGAGAAGTAACGAAGGATTGATCGACCAAGTGTTTGATACCTTATTAGTGTTTGAAATCCTAGAGCAGATAATGGAGATATAGTGCATGCCATTTGTGATTGTAGAGACTAGATAAAGAAGACTCCAAAGAAAGAATGCGAGAAGACTAAAGAGACGATGTGTGCTTTTAGCGTTTCAAGGATATTCTTCTATCAGCTAGAGACAAATCTCAGTCTTCACATGGGATGTGTTTATAAAGGCAACAACGCATTACATGAAGAGTAATATCTTTTATCTTGGGAGCATGAGAGGGCTGAATTTAGATAATATATAAATTTAAATACATTATCAATAATAGTCTATTTTTGTGTAATCATTAATAGTCTGTTACCAAAAAGAAAAACTAATCATTCATATTAAAAAACATGGGATCAATGGGGCATTAGGCAACTGCATAAGTGGTCGATGCCGTTGAAATGCCCTAGTGATGGGAGAGGTGAACGAAGTATAAAACAACAAAGTATCTGCCCTCATTATTCAGTCTTTATGCTAACCCGACCCTTTTACCTTCGCGCCAAATAATAGCCCTACACAACTGCTAAAAACTTAAAGAAAAAATGGACAAAAGTTCCTGCAATTCTTTAAGGTCGACTGAACCCATGACAATAGCCCAACTGATTAACTTTCTCTTTATTGACAACATGAAAAAACCAAAAAAAAGAAGGAAATTTTGTTTGATCTCTGCGCTTTGTGTTGTTACTCTCACAAGACTGAATAATCAATTAAAACAACCCTACTGTTAACAACTTACAGATTTTTTTTTTAAAAAAAAAAAGAGAACTGCAATTCTTTAGTATCAACTGAACCCATTACAATAACCCAACTGATTGACTTTCTCTTATTGTTTTTCGGAAAAAAAAGAAGGAAATTTTGTTTGATCTCTGCGCTTTGTGTTGTTCTCTCACAATAAGGAATCAACAATTACAACAAAAAGATAAGGTAAGGTGATTACATATATGGGAAGCTAACACAATAACCCAATTACATAGTATGGGAAACTAACACAACAACCCAACTGATTGATTTTCTCTTTTACCAAAAAAGATCGAAATTTTTGTTTGATCTCTGTGCTTTGTCCTGCTTTGTCAACAATCATACACAAACAAATCACACTAAATAAATGAAATGAACAATGATTGAACAAAAGAGGGAGTGGTCACATTAAAGTGATCACATACAATGGGAAGCTAAGAGGAATGGTATAAGTGTATAGACCTCTTCTTCTTCATCAGTAGGGTTGGTGGTGTTACTGCGTGATGATCTTTGTAGACCTCCAAGAGCTTCCATGGCCAGCTATGAAACCCTAAGGTTGGATTCACAATTCATGACCTATTTTTCTCCGGCGTAGTGCCAGAGGCCAACAAATAGTGGAATGGGGACATCCAGTTAGAGAGCCTGTCTTTGTCTTGATGCCACGTGTCACCGATAATTGTATATATTCTGTTAGGGCTAATCTCACTTTGCACCCTAAAAGTTACATCGATTCTCAAGTTGTACCCTAAAATATTAAAAATTTTAATTTATACCCTCAATCTATGAATTTGTATCAACGTGGACCTTGACCGAACTGCAATTCAGTTTTTAGTCATAAATTGAAGCACTTGAGTTACAAGTACTTTCGACATGAAGATGAGGTGTGTTCATTGCTGCAGATTTTCATCTACGATCAATTTGGCATCATTTTACGTATCAAAAATAAGGTTTTCTTAATCAAATAAAAGTTAAATCTATCATGTGTAACTCACACAAAGTGTCAACAGTCTGTGTATTTATACCTAAACCCATGATCGAAACCCTTGTAACTCACGTGATTCAATTTATGACAAAAAATTGAACGGTAGTCTGTGTAAGGTCCACATTTTTACTAATTCATAACAATAAGGATATAAATCGAGATTTTTAATGTTAAAAGGTATAAATTAAAAATTAAAGCATCTTTTAGGGTATAAAGTGACATTAGCCGTTTCTCCAATATGTTTTTTTTTTTGGACAGTATTTTCTCCTAATATGTACGCTAGT